CATACGGATGACCAAACTTTTCAAAATATCACTTTACATCTACTTAAAAGTACCCCTCAAAAGTGTATAAAAATTATATGTTAATTTAAAACATTTTATCACCCTTAGAAGTGTGGTTTGATGGACCAGGTAAAAAACACGTACCTGGGGAAATAAATTATAACCACTGCCCCCTTAAAGTTGTTTGTTTTGATGTCTAGCCGCACTGATGAGCAGTGATACATGATACAACAAAACAGGCCCGTGTGTTGATGATCATATATATATATATATATATATATATATATATATATATATATATATATATATATATGGACAGAAAGAAAAAAATCACAGAGAAATAGAAAAGATAGACATTTTTTGTGCTTTAAATGTCCAATATATGTTTTTCTTACAAGCGAAACATATCAGATTCAGATGCTGTGTTTGAGTTTGAGATGCGTCCTTCTGAACCTTTCTAATATAACAGATGAAAGGAACTGAAACGAAAGAAGTTATGTTTGATAAAGAATGTCAATGGTTACTTACCCGAGCAATGCTCTGTCGACTTCCCATCGGGTCCCGTTTATGTCGATTCAGTGGTTCATACATTATGTCTTCCCAGCGAACACGCCAATTCTTTTCGTCGAGCTCAGCCTCAAGGCTAATACGCCTGGAATATAAAAAAAATATATGCTTATATATTTGAAAAAAGTCTGTCGAAGAATGATATAGCAACAACAACAACAACAACAACGATAATAATAGTAATAACCCACACCTTACGAAGGGCTTTATCTATGTAATTTTTTTTTGTCAGTGGAAAGTGCCATGACGGCATTTCTAACCTTAGGTCCCTGGGCGGGATCCGGAAAGAAATGTGTAAACGCCAGAAATCAAAGAAAATAAAAATAATAATAATAATAATTGCAATATCTGCAACCTTTACGGAAAGAAAATTACAAGAAATTCGTATGAACCCACCCAGTCCCGGTTACAGAAAAAAAAGGTTTAGCCTCTACTGGGCATGATAGAGTGGGTCTATATCCGTATTTGAAAATCTGCAACTAGTACGGGGAGGAAACTGCAAGAAACTGGTATGAACATTACCCAGACCCAGTTACAGAGATAGGACCTGTAATAATTCTATGGGACTTTAGAATACACACCGACATAACAATCAAACCTAATTTCCCAGACATCATGATCAGAGACCACAACATCAGAATATGCTTTCTTATTGACATTGCAGTCCCTGCAGAGTGTAATGCATTTTTGAAGACACCAACAATTCCTGTTGTAGTTGGAGCCCTTGGAATGATTAGACAAATTTCCGATAGATTCATTAAAGGGATTCTTCGTGGTTCAGGCTTTAAAGAAATGCAAAAAAATTGTACTCACAAGTAGAGCTACAAATTACGAAGGGTTTTATCGATGTAAAATATGTGTAATCTCATTGCTTTGTTTTGTTTTTCTCAACAAATGCTCAAAGGAAAATGTCATGATGCTATCTCTGACCTTCGGTCTCGGGTTGGGACCCGGAAAGAAATGAGTATGCACCAGAAATCGAAGGAAATTAAATAACATCATCATCCAGACATCGTGATCAAAGACCACAAAACAGAAAATGCGTTCTTACTGATATGGCAGTTCCTGCATATTCTGATGCATCTTCGAAGAAAACTTAAAAAGAAAACTATCAAAATACAAAGAAATTGAAGGGGAAATTAAAAAAATATGGTACATGAAGACATTAATAATTCAAGTTGGAGCGGGTTTGAAAGAAAATCTTTACCATAAGTCTTTTGAAGTGAAGCATGGCACCCCATACATTAAAGAATTGTAAAAAAATAATTGTACTCACAAGTAAATAAAGACCTTACGAAGTACTTTATGTATGAAAAGCGTGTGTGATTTTAGTTTTTTTAGTTTATTTTTTATAAAAATGCTTCGTGGAAAATGTCATGAAGCCATTTTTCATCTTAGGTCTCTGGTTGGGACCCAGAAAGGAAATACAACAGAAATCAAAGGAAATAATAATAATAATAATAATAATAATAATAATAATAATAGTAATACAAAAACTGTTGTAAAAAAATTGCTCTCACGAGGATAGCCCACACATTACGAAGGGCTTTATCTATGTAAAATATGTGTGCTGTGTTTTTTTTTTCTTTTTAATTTGTCACTTGAATGTGTGATGATGCCATTTCTGATCAGGAAAGAAACGCGTACACACTAGAAATCAAAGGAAATAATAATAATAATAATAATAATAATAATAATAATAATAATAATAACGTGGTAAATTATGGTGTTAGCTTTGTTTAATGGACAAGGGAGGAGTTCTAAATTTTGTACAATTTCTGCACCAAACTCTAAATGTGGTAAAATGATACACAACTCGAAAGGAAGCTACGGAGAGGACATATCGGTATTGAATAATCTGTAGTAAATGAACGAAATTCGTTGGCATTTTACCTGGTAAACAGCGAACAGACACTCTTAAAAGTCGTGACGAAATTCCACATTCTTATAACGTCGACAACACCGAAAAATACAAAGAGATGTTACTGAAAACGATGTTAAAACCAAACGACACAATGTTGTTTCATTGACAGATTGAGAACAACGCCAGAGCAATTTAATCAAACATCCCTGGGATCGATTGACAAAAGCCAAGCTGAAATCGATAAATGAAAGCCTACTTTTAACCACCCGAGAGCAAACCCTAAATACTAATTCTCCCCGGATAAGAGCAGGTAGTGTGATTAGCAGGTAGTAGAGATTAGAAATAGTCCCCCAAATCATTAACGCCTGTGGAATGATTGCACAGAAAGAATACAAGTGACACCATAGAGATGTCAGATTGACGTCAGTATAGGGGTTATGAAATTGAAGTCGACGAAAAATTGTACCTACACAAGTCAGGGAAGGGGATCGAATACGACCAAATCAAGACTGTGTGGGATTTCAACATCCAAACAGACAGTATTGTTGAGGCCAGCAAAAATCAGAGATTATCATTGTTTAAAATGTAGTTTTTTCCTAGCGTAGCTTAGATGTGGCACAAGGCCGAAAGTATGGTGCACCCAGTGAGGATCGAACTCACTACTTGGTCGTAACTGTCCTAGCGAGACAAGCTTGCGAACCTTTACACCGCCTCGAGGTACCCCCGTTGTTTAAAATATATGAATGAAAATACTTCTTCATCGATATGTCTGTGAATTGGTGGCCACAATATGACGCTCAACGAAATTAAAGTACAGGCAGATTGAGGTTTTCGGAATGTGGGACGTTCTGTCCACTATTGTCCCAGTTAGCATTGGAGCGGTGGGGGTCTATAATCATCGAATTTATAGTCCCAATTTTAAGGGAATAAAACACAGTATAGAATCATCTTAGAAGTCTGTGTTTCTTGGTGTGATTTGGTTTGTTTTGTTTTACGGCATCTCAACCTCAATGAGGAGGCATGGCGGAGTAATCGATAGCAAGTCGGATTGAAGAAATGGAGAGCCGAGTTCGAATTCGAATCGAATCCATTACATTCACTTACGTGCTAATAATAACCTTCGAAAAGGTATGAATCCGCTTCTTCTTCCTCCCCTCAGCTGTGGATAAATAGCAGGACAGACCGGGTTCTGCAGCCTTGGATTACAACTGGTCTACCGCAGAAATAAATGGCAACCTACTGCGGGAAAACGTCTGTCTCGTCATCCATGTATCGAAAGATACATGATCGCCTAAGCGTGCATCACGCATGGCACATAACTGACTGGCTGAAGCTCAATGGGTTAATAGTGACAAGATTTTTTATTGCTGATAACAGTTTTTTTTTTTGAAGAATGTATTGCTGGTAATATTTTTTTCGAAAACATTATTGCTTGTTGTATTTTTTTCTCCAAAAATGTAATGCTGGTATTAAAACCTATTTTTACACTTTCATAGTTTCTTTTTTTTTTACCCCATATTTGGGGTTATTTGTCCAAATCTGGGACCCTAATAGATGCTACCAACCCAGGTCAGGGTGGACCTGGGAACATCAGCAATTAAGAGGTGGTTCCACGCTCCTCAAAACCTCCTGATCAAAGGCCTTGCTGCTGGATGTAGTTTATCGTCCTACCCAGGATCTTACCCCTCTGCAGATTTGCAGTTGACGTATATTGAAGACCCACCCGACAGGTCACGCGTTTCTTGGCGCTGCAAATATTCTGCGTAAGGCGCTAATTTTTTGAGATCCTACGACATGATGGCGAAACCCTTATGAATGATCTCCGGTTGAAAACGTGGAAACGCGCGGAGGAAGAACAGAAAATATTTAATAATAATCACGTATAGTCAAGTGTCGGATATTCATGACCATTACATTGACGGTTTCAGTTTCTCTTTTAATTATTTGGTATTTTCAATCAATTGATCAATTAAGGTACACATGATGATCTCCCACAATGTCTTTTCGCATGCATAGTTTTCAAGAACAAGACATTGCAGATCATTTAATTATTACTAATCCAGCAATGTCCACTGAATCTTTCTCTCCCCTTCGGCAAGTGTAGACATCGGCTTTGGCAAGTTACCATAGACCATTTGTCATATTAGTTATATGTTGCTGCCAACTGACATTTTTCACCTGTCTCATCATCTTTGTACAAGACCCATCAAGTTTCTTATTCCTTAGGTAATAATAATAATAATAATAATAATAATAATTGTACTCACAAGTACAACCCACACATTACGAATGGATTTATCTATGGCTATGTAAAATACGTGCGATTTTTTTTCCAAACTTCTCAGTAGAAAATGTCATGATACCATTTCTGAGATTAGGTCTCTGATCGGACCAGGAAAGAAATGAGGAAGTAAAGCAAATAAAAAAATAATAATAATAATAATAATAATAATAATAATACACAGAGACAGAAGAATCAAAGCTAATCGTCCAGACATTGTGATCAGGGACGACAAAAACAGTATATGGCTGTCTCATTGACATGGCAGTCCCCGCAGACCAGAATGTATCTTTGAGGATCTTCAAAATATAATCACTGGAAACAGAATTCTCAAAAATGTGGCACCTGAGCACATCAACAATTCCAGTTGTAGTTGGAGCCCTCAGTTTGATTGGAAAACGATAAGTATACTTAATCTACGGAGAGATAGCGTGAGAAAATCGTCGAGACAGGGTGTTCACCCAGAATTGTGTGTGTGTGTGAGAGAGAGAGAGAGAGAGAGAAAGAGAGAGAGAGAGAGTTACGGCTTCACTTACAGAGACTTGTACATAGACTTTTCTACTAACTCGCATTCCTGGAATACGAATCTTCACTTCAAGTCTGTATTCTTACGTTTAATACACTTATTTTTCTATCTCAATTACTGGCGTTGTTTATTTATTTGTGTAGGATTCCATTCACGAAATCCACAACAACAACAACAACAACAACAATAATAATAATAATAATAATAATAATGGGGATTTCTCTTCGTTGATGTTTTAAAAAAGTACGAAAAGTGTACACACTACAGCTCAAACAGTACATAGAGCTTTTCCTATGCAAAATGTGTGTGACCTTTGTATTTTTTTTTATAGAAATGTTTATTGGAAAATGTCATGAAGTCATTTCTGTCCTTAGGTCTCTGGCTAGGAACTGGAAGGAAGTGTCTATGAAACAGGAATCCAAGTAAATAATAATAATAATAATAATAATAATAATAATAATAAGAAGAAGAAGAAGAAGAAGAAGAAGAAGAAGAAGAAGAAGAAGAAGAAGAAGAAGAAATCGAAATCTCAAAAATGTGGTACATGGGAACATCAACAATCCCCGTTCTAGTTGGAGCCTTCGGATTGGTTGGAAAAGACTCCAGTAGAGTAAATGAAGGGATCCCTGGAAGCCCATACCTTAAAGAAATACAAAATTGTTCTCACGAATACAACTCTCACCTTATGAAGGGTTTTGTCGATGTAAATTGCTTTTATTGTTTTTTGCCAGTAGAAAATGGCATGGTGACATTTCTAAACTTAGGTCCCTAGGCGGGACCCGGAAATAAATGAGTACACATCAGAAATCAAAGGAAATAAAATAATAATAATAATAATAATAATAATAATAATACACTAAGGCTAACACCGCGTAGAAAGAGATGAAACAGTGAACCACATAACCACTAAATCCAGCAAGTTAGCTAAGAAAAAATAAATAAATGAAAACGTAGGGATGTTAGGGCAGGAAGAGTCATATCCTGATAACTGTGATAATTGGTGTTCAAATATGTAACAAATCATTGTGAGCGGCAGAGGATAACAAAAAGAAAATATTTATAGTTACTTTGTTCTAACTTTTTTTTCAATAAATTTAGATATTATCTGTTTAAGTCCTATGTTCAAATGACGACCACTTCATGACATCATTCATACAAGTGAGACAAAGCGGGTGTCGATTTTCAGTTGGTGAATAGCAACCAAAATGAGAAGGTTACTTTCTTCTAGCATCGACATTTGGCCAAGGTTGAGGATAAATCCACTTCCCCAGTTTACAAGCACATTATACAGTTTCCCTTTGGGACATAGATGAATCCGGCCCTTTTAAGACACAAGTCCTAAAAATGGCTTTTCCACGTCCGGAATATCTTCAAATTCTAAGACCTTTCCTCTTTGTTCTTCCTTATACTTTGAGTTGTAACAAATTATATCAGATTTAATAATATCAACGTGAAACAAAGATTGGCCAAAAAGCTTTCTATTTCGACATCCTGCCTGAACTGAACATCCAGAATATAGTGAATAAAGCAAAAAAGAAAAAAAGGCCCTCTAGACCGTGGAGGTGACTGTGAGAGAGAACAACAAATGGAATATGAAGTAGAATGAGAACTTTTTTAAAAAAGTGGACCTTTCAAGGAAGCTGAGAAAGAGGTAACAAGTGAATGTTCACAGTTGTACCGTAAGAGTAGAACCGTGAGAAAAACGTTGGAATCGAGGGGAAGTGTCGAAAATTCTAGACGTCTCCGGTTCTGGTGCCAGCGGTGATACTGAGAAAGGTGATTGGAGATTTGAAATTACTTGCTATCATACAACAGTCAGCGCTGAAACCAACAAGATACTTCCTGACAGTGGAACTCTTTTTCTCCTACTTGCTTCCCTAATAGCTATAATCTTCAAATATTCAGATGTAATGTCATTCGGCATTTCCTGATGTCTTGATCCTGATCCCCGTATATCTCCATATCCTTTCCTCAAACACCTCTCTTTACTCTTGCTCTCATTCTCTGTAACCCTTTGCGTGCCTTTCTTGGGGTGAAATATATTCTATATATATACTGTCGTGGATTCCGGGATGAAATCCGGTACCAATAAATAACAAACGCCAAAAAGGAATATAGGAAAATAAATGTATTAATGTAATAATACAAAATGGTAATGCAGGTTAGTAGTTCTAGGAATGCGGGTTAGTAGCAAAATATATATATACAGTCTTTGTTATCGACGTATCACTGTATGACTTCTTACTGAATCTACGTGCTTGCTCACTGTGAC